ACTGTTTGAAATTATGGATTCTACAGGCCACATTCTATAAGAAAATTTTTTTTCCGGGACGATCTGAGACAATTTTTTTTTCGAGCCTCAAAAAAAGGCAGTGTATAACCTTCCTTTTTTACCAAAAATCGACTACACCAAAATTTCTCGGGAAAACAGTTTTTCTTATTAATTTTGGTGCGTAGAATCCAAAACAATTCGTACTTTTTCGATCAGACTTCTCAATCAAAAGTTATAGACTAGAAAACCAATTTCGAAAAAAAATTCAAAGGGCTGTAACTTTTGAACTAGTAGCCCAATCTTGGAACTGTTTGAAATTATGGATTTTACAGGCCACATTCTATAAGAAAAATTTTTTTCCGGGTCGATCTGAGACAATTTTTTTTTCGGGGCTCAAAAAAAGGCAGTGTATAACCTTCCTTTTTTACCAAAAATTGACTACACCAAAATTTCTCGGGAAAACACTTTTTCTTATTAATTTGGGTGCGTAGAATCCAAATCAATCCGTACTTTTTCGATCAGACTTCTCAATCAAAAGTTATAGACTAAGAAACCAATTTCGAAAAAAAATTCAAAGGGCTGTAACTTTTGAACTAGTAGCCCAATCTTGGAACTGTTTGAAATTATGGATTCTACAGGCCACATTCTATAAGAAAATTTTTTTCCGGGTCTATCTGAGACAATTTTTTTTCGGGGCTCAAAAAAAGGCAGTGTATAACCTTCCTTTTTTACCAAAAATCGACTGCACCAAAATTTCTCGGGAAAACACTTTTTCTTATTAATTTTGGTGCGTAAGAATCCAAAACAATTCGTACTTTTTCGATCAGACTTCTCAATCAAAAGTTATAGACTAGAAACCAATTTCGAAAGAAAATTCAAAGGGCTGTAACTTTTGAACTAGTAGCCCAATCTTGGAACTGTTTGAAATTATGGATTCTACAGGCCACATTCTATAAGAAAATTTTTTTCCGGGTCGATCTGAGGCAATTTTTTTTTTCGGGGCTCAAAAAAAGGCAGTGTATAACCTTCCTTTTTTACCAAAAATCGACTGCACCAAAATTTCTCGGGAAAACACTTTTTCTTATTAATTTTGGTGCGTAGAATCCAAAACAATTCGTACTTTTTCGATCAGACTTCTCAATCAAAAGTTATAGACTAGAAACCAATTTCGAAAGAAAATTCAAAGGGCTGTAACTTTTGAACTAGTAGCCCAATCTTGGAACTGTTTGAAATTATGGATTCTACAGGCCACATTCTATAAGAAAATTTTTTTCCGGGTCGATCTGAGACAATTTTTTTTTCGAGGGCCTCAAAAAAAGGCAGTGTATAACCTTCCTTTTTTACCAAAAATCGACTACACCAAAATTTCTCGGGAAAACACTTTTTTTTATTAATTTTGGTGCGTAGAATCCAAAACAATTCGTACTTTTTCGATCAGACTTCTCAATCAAAAGTTATAGACTAGAAACCAATTTCAAAAGAAAATTCAAAGGGCTGTAACTTTTGATCTAGTGGCACAATCTTCAAACTGTTTGAAATTATAGATTCTACAGGCCACATTCTATAAGAAAAATTTTTTTCCGGGTCGATCTGAGACAATTTTTTTTTCGGGTCTCAAAAAAAGGCAGTGTATAACCTTCCTTTTTTACCAAAAATCGACTACACCAAAATTTCTCGGGAAAACACTTTTTCTTATTAATTTTGGTGCGTAGAATCCAAAACAATTCGTACTTTTTCCATCAGACTTCTCAATCAAAAGTTATAGACTAGAAACCAATTTCGAAAGAAAATTCAAAGGGCTGTGACTTTTGATCTAGTAGCCCAATCTTGGAACTGTTTGAAATTATGGACTCTAGAGGGCAAGATCTTTCAGAAAAAGTTTTTTCCCGGTCGATCTCAGACAATATTTTTTAGGGGTTCGGGTTATATTTATGCATTTTTGGGAAACTCAATTGCTTAATGCCCAAAAAGTGGTCCATGTGTATTTTTGGTGACCGACAGACCTATTTTTGGGCAAAAAATGTCAAAATGTTGTTTATGTACCGATTTTATTGGGAAGATGAACTTCGGGTTTTCTTTATATTGTTATTACGGGTTTCAGATGTGGAACTATCAAAACTTAATTTTAGCATCCATCACTTTATTGTCCACTATCGTCTATATCCTTTTTTATACACCAATTTTCTTGGGAAATAGACCAAACTTGACAGTTCGATGCGCAAGAAATGATACATGTGCATCGTGTCGCCTTTAAAAGCAGTCTCCATCTGCCTATATGAGTAGGTTACGCTGGAAATATCCACGTGGTAATGGTTTTGGTTCACTTTTAATTCACGTTTAATTGATTTAATAAATTTAAATAATAAGCACGTTTTCGAAAGCTTTTCAGCCTTTCATCTTACTCCTAAGAACACGTATATTACAACTGTAGTTACTTTCGGTTTAGTGGGTTGGCAGGAAGTAAGTGCAAAGACCATACATATAATAAATTGACTGCGTGTGCCAATGCACGAATACTACAGGTGAGAGAGAAAGGAAAACTAGTAGGGCAAGCTGACTCTTACGGTTACACGCATCTGATTGGTTCCTTCAACAGAAGCGATTCAAAAGAACCAAACAGATGCGCGACCGTAAGAGACAGCTTGCCCTCTTAGTTTTCCCTTCTCTCTCACCTGCAGTATCCGCGCTTATCATTGACACGCGCAGTTCATTTATTATATGTTGATGGCAAAGACTGATGATGAGCATTGAAATCGTAATAGAAATCAAACTATTAAATGCATCTTTCACTCTAAAATATTTTCTTAATATCGTCACTTAAAATGGTTGTAGTTTTCTATCTGTTTTTTTGTAAATTTTTTTAAAAAATATATGTAGGTATCATTTATGAGCATGCCACATTGTGTTACGTTAAGCAATTTTCAAGAGCGAGCAAAGTTGATCCCAAGAGCTGGCTAGCTACGGCCCTGGCTGGAAATAACCTAATGTTTTTTTTTAAAATAGAACATATTGTTTTTTATGATTGAATACGCAATAAAAAAAACAGGTACTATTTAAATCTTTAAGTATTATTTTTTTAACGCGTTTACGTGGGTCTTTTTTTGTCAGTGTGTAACAAATCTGGATCAGAGAGTCCAATGCACGGGAAGAATCCATGTTACGCGAACGAAAAATGCCGCGCTCGAGTTACGTCGTTTTGTCTCAAAGGTTTGGTTAAGAACGCATCTCTCCCACCCAATTTTTACTTTATGTACTCGCCGAATCCTATACCCGAAACGGATGCCGGCAAAAATTGATACCAAAATTAAAGCGATCCGTGCGGGCTACCGTTGGACAAGTAATAATTTATTTTCTTCTAAATGTTAAATGTAAAAAAGGTTTTCGCCTAGTAACTAGCGCATTTTCCACGAATTGGTCAGTACTTCCCAAAGGGTCATGTAACGTAATAAGTTCATATTGCGCAGTTTGCGCAAGCACACATCTGATTTTTACATTATGCGATATGCTTGTCTTTACTAGAAACATTTGTGGTTAAAACTATCTCTATATAGTATAGTATAAATAAAAAAGTTGACATGCGCACATTAATCGTCAAGATTGCCATGAACTAGGTACCGAATGGTTTAGAGTTGGCCCCACTTTGAGCGATGGATCACCAACGCTCAATAGACGCTTGTATACCTAGAGTTTGCGAATGGTTAAATCTTGGGCCTTTTTGAGGAACAGACTGGTAGATCCAAAAATGTATTATCGCCTCGCCTTCAAAACCGATTGTAAAGAAACCGTCCCAGATAAATGGGAATAAGATTAGAATGAAACATCCCTACAACAAATAGTAGCTGACTAACTCAAATTGTTTTTCATAGCACTCTAAATACCATATTAATATTTTATTGCGAACCATAGTAAATGCTAGTGTTACAATGAAAAAATCTAATTGTGATAAACTTTTGGTCACTACTGTGTGAAATCAATAATAGTAAACAATTTTCACAATTTAAAGGGTAAAGGTAAAGGTAAAATAGGTATTATCGTAAAGCTTTGCCTGCAACATCCATAGAACAGACTAGTTCCCAATTCGGAAAGTGTATTGTTCGTCTCTTTTTTTATGGAACATTATGGGCAGGAAACTCTAGAATTTGGCGAATCCTCTGTAAACGTTGGAAGAACTATGACATTAAATGCAGGTTGCTTGGGAGACAATGGAATTGGAGTCCTCTGAATAGTTCGCCGCTTCGGACAAGTTTTTGGATTAGTAATGGTACATGGTTTCGCTCGATTTATCTCAACTTGTTTCGTACCCTAATGATAAGTAGTTATGTCGATATCTTTAACGTCTAATTAATTAATGTAATGTATTTTGAAACATGGAAATGTACTACGGGAGTTCAAAGAGAGTTCGGCCATTTTAAACAAACTTGCCTCGAAAGGTGTCGATTGTAGAAATACCGAATGGCCAAAAGTTTGTCTGGAATGTAATTGCAGGTGTAATTCGCGGTCGGCAACCACGGACACTTGTATTTGGCCTAACTATTTACAGGATATAGTTGAATTATGCGTCGATAAATGCTTTACAAACACTTTTGTCCTTTTCGGTTTAAAAGCGCGCGAGAGGAGCCGACGAAAAAGGCGAAAGCGTGCGTAGAGCAGAAAATCTGAAAACCCTTTCCTTTGTTCGCCCATCGGCAGAAAACGGAAACTTAAATAATCCTTAAATTCGTTTTCATATATAAGTAGTAGGGGAAACTTGTATACAACGCACAGGATTGAACTATTGGAGCAAGACTGATATTAGGATCGGGAGCTTAATCTACCCCCTCAATCTATATATCGGAGCTTTCATTTTAAGCGCCGCCCGACCAATCGCGTGCGCCTGTAGGACGAACCCTCGTACTACTTTTCCCGCGTACGACGGGATTAGGAATGCTACAAGTTTCTGTGACATTCTGACCCTATCGATGGTAGGGCGGAACAACCCCAATATCTTGTGTCACCAACAATCTATACCGAACCGACAGTAGTACATCGAGCATTGCAATCACGAGATTTATTAAAAACAACAACAAACAAAAAAAAACAAAATTGGGCGCGCTAGTTTTGTGTGCTGTGAAATTGGTGCGTTTGATGAGTGTTTCGATGTGCGAAAAGGGAGGATTTGTGCAGTTACTTTGAGGATTATACCGAGCCGAAATGTTGGAGTTTTATCCGAATTTGAATTTGAACACTGCAATGTTGCAAGAGCATAGCTCTATGCAGGGTATGGAATGCGGCGGAAGAAGCGGTGAGTATATTAGCGTTATTGCTGACCCATCCGACGGAAGACTTTTCGAACAATTTTGAAGTTACAGGGTTTGCACGGTTATGTAAGCCATAAGCGAGCATATCATACCATGATGGCTTGGTGCAGCCCAATTCTGTGCTGCTATGGTTCAGGACATTATAGATGATAAGAATGTACACTTAGAGCTAGAGCACTCGAACTGTTCGAGTAACCGCTCCTGCAAAGAAATTTTTGGCATGACAAACTAAATGTATAAGGACTTTTGCGCGGAGTACCCATTCGTTTCTGACATCAATACTCTTTTGCGACCTGTCGAACGAATTCGAAACGCATTATCCTTCAGAAACCAGAGCCATTAACCAGCTTTATAGGCGACGAAAATCTTTTAGTCACGCAATTTATTTTTTAATGTGCCACTCTGACGTCCATCAGGAGAATACACTCCTTTTGAAAAATGCCAAAACGATGGATTGTTGTTTATTTTCGGGATATACCACTGTATGTCAATATCCGAAAGGGCTCGAAGTTCTCTCGAATTTCGTTTGATACCATCCAAAATTGCGACTCCAACATTTTCACGAAAAGAGCCAAATCTGACCATTGTGAAAAGAGCGGGCCATTTCCAGCAGACCAAATTTCCGAAGACGCCCGAAGTATAAATTGGCTTTACAATACAAATTATGTCAATATATTGTTACAGAATTAAAAATAATAATCAATAATAATAATTTAGAATACATAGGATCCGGTTGCACCGCTATTCAAGGGGTTGAAAAACTCACCCCCGTATATTATCTTGAGTACGGCACATAGTATCACGAGCAAATTTACGTGAGAGCTTGATAACAATTCCACAATTAATATTCAAGAAAAACATCCCCGTGCACGGCCGTCCCAGGGGTTGAAAAACTCACCCCCGTATATTATCTTGAGTACGGCACATAGTATCACGAGCAAATTTACGTGAGAGCTTGATAACAATTCCACAATTAATATTCAAGAAAAATATCCCCGTGCACGGCCGTCGAAGGGGTTGAAAAACTCACCCCCGTATATTATCAAGACTATATGCATACTTCTATTAATAATAATATAATAATATTATAATATATAATATAATAATATTATAATATATAATATAATAATATTATAATATTATAATATAATAATATAATATATTTACCCTGCTATTGTGCTAAGCACTTACATTGGTCAAACTAGGCAATTAAATGACAAACTTTTACATAATAAAAACAAACAAACAAGTAAATCAATAAATAACGTGTTAATAAACACTGCATTCCATCATCTATTCAATTTGTTTGTTTGTAACTAGCGTCAAATTTTGTGAAATTTAAAATTTATTTATAATCGCTAAATTGTATAAATAAAAGAAATATGTACATAGAAAAGGTTGCAATGTATTATATATGTAGAATTATGTTTAGCGCATTTTCCAACGAAGTTGGGTGCGCTATTGCAGCCACTTTCTCTGCCCGTCCGTCTGTCCGAGGCCTAAACTACTCCTACAGTTTTCAAGATATTAAGTTCGTTCTTCTTGCATTCTTTTTGAAATTTTAATCACAGGTGCTTCTGTTAAAGGAAAACAACTGATATTGCAAAAAATAGATGCGCACATGCGCAGTCAGTGCTAACTTCTTTATTTATCAAGATATTTCTTTGTAATTTTAACCATAGATTTTTCTAGTAAAGAAAAACATATCACAGGTAGTAAAAATCGAAAACTACAAATGTCATTAAGAAAAGCAAACATATCGCTAAAAATCAAATCTACGCATGCGCGAACTGCGCAACACCAACTTTTTTGTTTATGGAGATATTTTCTTGAAAATTTAACCATATATGCCTCTAGTAAAGAAAGAACCACAGCGCACATAGCTATGGCCTTTTGGGAATTTTAATAATAAATGTTTTCAGATGACAGAAGATCCACCTTGTAGTAGTTTGTAATAGAGAATTTCAGAAGTAGACGACGCTATAAACCGTTATGAGCATATCTTTGGGGTAATTACAAGTATTTTATCGAAACTATCAGAGAAAGAATTATAGAAAATATAGATAACGATCATAACATCATGAGGATACTTTAGACTAACATTATAAGTGGCCATCATTGTACCAAGTACCAAATTCGTTATCTTGCATTTATAAATTGTGGAATTATTAACATCCCCTCACGTAAATTTGGTAGTGATACTATGTGCTGTTCTTGTCTTCTCGAGATAATGTACGGGGGTGAGTTTTTCAACCCCTTGGACGGCCGTGCACGGGGATTTTTTTCTTGAAAATTAAATGTGTAATTGTTATCAAGCTTTCTCGTAAATTTGGTCGTGATTCTATGTGCCGTTCTCGAGATAATATACGGGGGTGAGTTTTTCAACCCCTTGGACGGCCGTGCACGGGGATGTTTTGCTTGAATATTAATTCTTGAATTGTTGTCAAGCTCTCACGTAAATTTGGTCGTGATTCTATGTGCCGTTCTCGAGATAATATACGGGGGTGAGTTTTTCAACCTCTTGAACGGCCGTGCACGGGGATGTTTTTCTTGAATATTAATTGTGGAATTGTTATCAAGCTCTGGTGTAAATTTGGTCGTGATACTATGTGCCGTTCTCGAGATAATACACGGGGGTGAGTTTTTCAACCCCTTGAATAGCGGTGCAACCGGATCATATGTATTCTAAATTATTATTATTGATTATTATTTTTAATTCTGTAACAATATATTGACATAATTTGTATTGTAAAGCCAATTTATACTTCGGGCGTCTTCGGAAATTTGGTCTGCTGGAAATTGCCCGCTCTTTTCACAACGGTCGTGAAGTTAGCTTTAAATGAAACGTCAAATAGTTCTTTCGTTTGCACTTCGATTGCACATTTAGGCACACTTCGATTTTTCGTTTGCACATTTCTCCGAGATATTGCAAAAAACAATGTGGGAGAGGGGGGGGGGGGCGACTTCTCGATTTTGGCCACTCAACATTAAATTAACTGAACGCTATATACTTCATTTGTTCGTATATATAGGCACACCTCGATTTTTCGTTTGCGCATTTCCCTAAAAAAAGATTCTGAAAAAATAAGAATTTGGGAGATACCTTTACGATTTTAGCCCTCTCACATTATTTTTATTAATATCGGTTTTTTATAACTATACCTACTCACAAAACGTCTCTATTTAAACGCTCCTTTTGTTACAATATTGCAAAGACGTATAATGAATTACCATCTCATTTAAAACATTTATCCGAAAGTCTTTTTTAAAAAACGCTTGCGCCTCGTACTCCTTGCACGACAGCATTAAGTTCCATCGTTAACATCATTATTGCTATAATTTTTTTTATTTTTTTAGGTTTTCATTTCTCCCCTGATAATGAATGGTTTTTATTATCGTATAATTTTTTTCTTGCTAAAGTTGTAGGTTTTTTGGATTCTTGGATTTTAGGTGAGTAATTAATATATATTTTCTTATAGGTTATCGATATATATTAATTACTCACCTAAAATCCAAGAATCCAAATAATATAAAGTAATTAACAATATGGAGACATACATCAATAAAAAATTCTAGGTTTCATGACGCAACATTGAAAAAAATATACAAAAAAAGTTGAAAAAGATTTTTTTTGGCAGTTTTGTGCTTACAACTCGAAAACTATGAACTTTTCGAAAATAATCTTCCTATTCAAAATGAAAGTACATAAAATTTCCTACAGATTCCACCATTTAGTTTTTTTCCTCGATGAACCGTTCGGGCTCAAGCGCCAGTTGAAAATTGGCGTATTTCGGCTGTATTCTTTTTTCGAGTTGTAAGCACAAAACTGCCAAAAAATATCTTTTTCAACTTTTTTTGTATTTTTGCGTCATGAAATTTTGTTAGCAAACCTCAGATTCGGATTCAGCACCCCAACAAGCATATAGAATCAAAGAAATCAAAACTACCCCTCAACTTTCCCATGAACCTAGCAGAGCAAGGTCAGCAGAACACAATCAAACATATTGCATAATTAGATGCTAATTAGGTGCTAATTAAGTGCCCTATTCCCGAATTAAATGCTCCTTTTTTTAAAATTATTATTACAGGTTTTGCCAGGTTCAAATGAACTCAGCAGAACACTACCTCTATAACCCAAAAAAATGAAAAGTGAACTCACTATAATTAGGTGCTAATTAGTTGCTAATTAAGTGCCCTATCCCAGAATTAAATGCTCCTTTTTTCTTAAATTATTACATGTTCTGCCAGGTTCATATGAACTCAACAGAGCACTACCTTAAAAACCCCAAAAAAAGTGAACTAACTATAATTAGGTGGTAATTAATAATCAATTCCCGAATTAAATTGAAATTGAAAATTGACTGGGAATTAAAAAGCTCTTTAAGCAAAATATACTAAAGATATTATTAAAAACTTAATTCTTGAATATTGTCTTAAGATAAAATGAAATCAAACATTAGTAACGAATTAAATTGTGTATGGGGCTCATTTGAAAGGGCTTGGTCCAAGGATCCCGTGCGTACCCAATTTTGTGGTTTTGCGCATGCGCAGTGTAAAAAATTTCGTTTAACGCATGTGCGATGCTAACTTTTATTTATGAAGATATTTAAATGAAACTATGACACTACGAATATAAGTAAAACTGACAACGTTGTAAAAATATTCTTTTGCGCATGCGCAATGCCAACTTTCTCGCTTACGAAAGCATTTAAATGAAATTTAGTATACCTACAAGCACTTGGAATATAAAAGTAAAACTATTACCGGATTCAAAATTTCTTTTTTGTACTCCGTGGACTAAATGAACGTGTTTTGTCAATCGTTTAAGGGTCTAAAGTGTCACTTTTTCTCTCAGACGGATTAAAATGCAATGAGGGACGAAAAGTGACAGTACACAACATCTTTTTGAATTTGGGAGGCAGTAATTTCCTCATAACGTTCAGTTTATATGAACCTGGCAGGACATGTCATAATTAAAAAAAAG